GGGGCCCCTGCCTTCCCCCTTTATGCAGGTTCAGCTGACCACTGAGCCGCACCTCTAGGCCCATTCAGGAAGTCCAGTTCACAGCGCACTGGAACTTGTAATCCAAGGTGGCTGCACGGCAGTGGAGGTGGGGAAATAGCGCTTTCCCTTCGCAGAGGTGTGTTCGGAAATTCTGTGTCCTCTCCTATGTCCATTCTACAGTGGAGGAAGCTGAGGTCGAGAGGGGAAGGACTTGACTGAAAGCACTGGGACATGCTGCCCTGGCTGACCCTGTCCAACCGCAGGTGCAGCTCCTGAGGGCGGGAAGGGCCCAGCCTGTGCTCAGCCGCCTCAGGCCCTTCTGAGGCCATCGGCCATCTTCCCGGAATCTCTAGCTCAGCAGGCGCGACAGCTGCTGTCAGCCTGCTGCCCTCTGCCCCCCACTTCTTGAGCCCTGACCAAGCTCCTCCTCTCCCTGTCTCATTTACCGTCCTCCAGGTTTCCTCCAGCTGCTCCCCACTCTGTTTTGGGTCTCCCCAAAACTCAGAGCTCAGGACTTCATACCCCTAACTGCAGCTCCCGTCTGTGGGTCCCTCTGCTATCAGGATGAAGCCCCAGCTCTTGGGCGTCTGGTCAAGGCCTTTGGCCACCTGACCCCGCCCACCAGCCCACCGCAATTCCTGCCACTCCCCTCCTGTCACTGACCTCTGAGCTCCCAGGGGCCCACGTGCCATGCGGTCTTCCTCAAGCCCTGAAGTGTGCCTTCCCTACCTCTCCTCCTGTGAAACTTGCTGCTGGCAATGGGGCCTGTCAGGGGGGACCGTGACCTTCTCTACTCACAGTCTTGGCAACTGCATTCGGCCTCCAGGCCTTGAACACCTGGAGTCCAAGTCTTCCAGCACTCACTTTACTACTGGGTGTCTGTTCAGCACCACAAACTTTACATGCCTCCTGGCACCTGCTCTTCCCAGCCCCCCCTGGCTCCCCAGCCTGCTCTCCCTGTTGCCAGCCAGCACCCTGCTTGACACCACCTTCCAGGGAGGAGCATACTGTCATGTCTGACAGTTAGGCCTTTGGCTCAAGTCAGAAATCCGAAGGTGGGTGAAACAAAAGGAAGTTTTTTGCCTCCTTAAACAGCCAGCTTCAGGGTAGCTTGACCCCTCGGGAAGAATGTTGTTGCCAGGGCTTACTCTCACTTTTTCCTTCTGTTCTCTTCTGTGCAACTTCTGGGAGCTCAGCCTGGCCCCCGTGGCAGCAAGAGAGGCAGAGGTTCCAGAGCTCAGCCCCTCAGAGCAGGAAATGCCACAGAAATGCCCCCATAGTTTAGGCTGACTGCCAACTTGACTACCGGGTGCCCAGATATTTTGTTAAAACACCTATGAGGATGTTTCTGGATGAGATGAACACTGGAATTGGCAGACTGATGAACCCATTGTCTCTCAGTGGGTGGGCTTCATCCAGTCCACTGTAGAACTGAAGAGAAAAGCAGAAAATCTCTCTTCCTTCTCCTCCCTCTCCCCCTCTTCCCCTCCCTCCCTTCTCAGCTGCTGCCACTGGACATCACATTTCTGCCTTTGGGCTGAAACGTACACTACCAGTTCTTTCAGTTCACACTGGAACTGCATCTCAGTCTCTTAGGCCCCAAGCTTGCCCAATGCACATCTTGGGTCTCGGCCTGCATAACCACACCAGCCAGTGCCTTGCAATTAATCTAAGCAACAACCCCCATCCCGCCCCACCCTACCCCTACTCTGAGCTCACTTTCTTGGCCTCCACAGTCAGCACAGGCGTCCAGGGAAATCGTTCTTTCTTTTTATTTTTAAAGATTTATTTATTGATGCATACAGAACTGGGGTACAGCCCAGAGGTGCAGTGAGAGGATTCACCTGAGACAAAGCAGGGAGCAGAACAGGTAGATGACAAAGTGACTGCTGAGGGGAGCAGCGGGCGGGTCAGGAGAGGTCTGCCGCGCCATGTGGTCACCTCCAGGGCGGGGATCGAACTCATGCTGAAGTGGCTTTAGCTTCTTAGTGCAGTGCTTTAACCCGCTGCGCCACCAGGGAGGGCCCAGGGCAATCTTTCTACAGTGCACTCTCAGGAGCCATCCCTGCTGTCCTGGCCCTCGCAGGAGGGGAGACTCGAGAGGGGAGTGGGGGGTGAGGGAAGGCGCCATCATCCACTAATTCCCACTCCTGCTCGGTTTGCTGCCCAGCCGCCCTGGGCGACACCCGTTTTCCCTAGACACATGAGCCTCTCTCAGCGCTCCGTGCCTTTGCCTGCATGGTGCCCTCGGCTTGGAAAGCCCTTCCCTCCAGCTCGGGGTCGAAGTCACGCTCCCAGACCATGTGCTTTCCACCTCCCCAGTTATCAGCTGCACCCCCACCCTGTCACCTTGCAGGCCCAGGAGCAGGCAGGAGTCTGGACAAAGAGCACAGCCCCCTTGGACTTCTCTCCTTCCTAACAGGGCCTCCAAATACTCTCACCCGACCCCCCAGTCTCCCCTCCACTGTGATCACAGCAGAAGCCCACCGCCAGTCCAGCAAAGCAGAGACAGAAGCCCATCCCAGCAAGCCCTTCCCACTGCCTTCCCGCTGTGCAATCCTGCCTTCCTGGGCCAGGGCGCAGGCGTTATTTTTAGACAGTGCTGTGGACTAGGGCTCCAGGCATCTGCTTGACGCCTGAGGTGTAACCAGACCCCGCTGGCACTGGCCTTGACCCCTAGCTGGACAGAGGAGCAGCGAGAGGATCCAGCGCAGAGCGGAGCCAGGCCCAGACAGGCAGCACCTCGTGGAGGGGGCTACTGCCGGGCCTGCCTGAGCTGTCCTGCAGCAAGTGGGGTGCAGAGAGATCAAGGTTCCCGGTAGTGGGGGTTGGACTCCTGGCCCCACCGCGTAGTCAGCCTGCCAAAACTTGGAAAGCGGGTCAGAGAGACTTACATCCTTGCTCTGGCTTTCCCCTCCTTGTCGACACAATGAGGTGAGAGGTTGCAGGTCTGAGCCAGTTTTTTTTAGCCACAAATAACTCGAGGTCTTTTGTGTTGTTAGGCTTTCTTCCATTTCTTAGTTTGAGATGTTTTCTTAAACGGCAGTGAAATACATACAGCATGAAATTTACCAGCTGCTTGAAGTGTCCGGCTCCGTGGCAGTAAGTCCTCGGGCACTGCAGTGCCATCATCCGCCCAGCTCCAGATCACGCAGATCATACAGGCCAGCCTCAGCCCCTGACGTCACTCACCCCTTCTGCTTCTGTCCCTGGAACGTGACTTCTCCGGGGACCTTACAGTAGTGGCATTTTGGAGTATTTTCTTTTCTCTTTTTAAAGATGTATTTATTTATTCATACAAGAACTGGGTGCATGTGGTGAGGGGTTCCACCAGAGACAGAGAGGGGAACAGAACAGGCCGACTGACTGAAACACACTGCTGAGGGCAGCGGCGGGCGGGTCAGGAGAGGTCTGGCGCGCCCTGTGGGTCAGCTCCCTGGCCAGGGATTGAACTCGTGCTTCAGTGGCTGCGGATTGCTTCATAGTTGCACAGCTTTAACCCCTGACCCACCAGAATTTTGGAATATTTTCCTTAAGATTGAGCATGATGTCCTTGGGCTTCCTCCATGTTGTAGCCTGTGTCTCATCACCTTCCTTTTTAAGGCTGAGTAATATTCCATTGTGTGTACAGGCCAGATTTTGTTATCAGCTCATCTGTTGAGAGACGTGGGTCGCAGCTTCTTTCTGCTTATTGTGAATAATGCTGCTATGCACTTGGGCATCCAAATAGCTCTTTAAGACCCTGCTTTCAATTCTTTTGGGTCTATATCTGGAAGTGGACTTACTGAATTCAATTTTTTCAGTTTTTTGAGGAAGCTCTACTTTTGTCATAGCAGATTTTGAAATTTTGAAAAATTAGTTGGCTGGTGTTATAAGTCATTTGGGACTGGAGCGGAGCTCTGAGATCCTCTGTGCTCCAAGAAGCAGCTTCATCAGAGGCCAGATTCCTCAGATATTGGGTCCCCCTCACAGGGCTCCCTCCTGAACTCCTTGGTCCTGATAACCCTTTCCTTTGTCTCCCCCAGGCTAAAGTGTCTGCAATAACTCAGGGGTTATTTTTTTGCTGTCTCAGTCCTCTGATACCTGTTTAACCTGCCTCAGTTTCAGTTCTTTTTTTTTTAAGATTTATTTTATTTATTTATGTATACAGAACTGGGGTATAGGTCAAAGGTGCAGAGGCGGTGAGAGGATTCCCCAGAGGCAGAGTGGGGAGCAGAACAGGCCGACTCCACTGGTGAGGGGGGCAGCGGGGAGAAGAGAGAAGTCTGTGGTGCCTTGTGGGTCAGCTCCTGGCTGCAGACGACTTCACAGTGTTGACGCTAAACCCCTCACACCACCAGGGAGGCCCCACTGCTCACTTTTTGAAAGCTATTCTATATCTGAGAAATCTCCAAGCTGGGGACACTTTCTGGGTCACTCTTTCTGGCAGCAGGCCTGAAGCAGCCCTGCTCTGTAGGGCAGCTGGGCATAATAAGGGCATCGTGGCTTCCTTCGCCTGGCAAAGAGTTCTCATCTCTCCGGCCATTCTCTACACCCTCCGTTGGTCTCCTGAGCGTATCTCTAGTTTGGCACTGTGGCCCCTGACATGCACACTGAGAACTGAACTCCTGTTTTTGGTGTTGTCTGGCTGTGCAGAGTAAGCCCTACGATCGCCTCGAACCTCCATCAATGCACCCTAATCTGACGGGTTTTGTTCTGAGTGCTCATCTCACTCCTCTGTATTTGCTCAGCTGAGGAGACCTAACGGTCCCGGATCTTTTTACAAGAGTGTGCATAAAACCCCGTGTCCTATTCTTCACTTGTGCCACAGAAATCTGAGGCCTAAAATGAGGAGTTTTACACTGATACCCTTTTGCAGTACATTGACACCCTTTAACCAGTAGAGCAAAGTGCCCTCTCTGGAGTCTCAGTAAGGCTGCACATACATTCCTGCACTCAGAAGACCAAAGAAATATTTAACTGGCTCTTTTTAGCTCAGAGAAACAAATATTTATTTGACTTTTGATGGGTTCCAGGGCAGTAGGGCTGGCACTAGGTGGGGCTGGAGGAAGGCGCCCGGGTGCCACGGCCTTCGTCCCCAGCATCTCCCCTGCAGCAGGTTTACCATTGGGGGCCGGGCTTGTGGCTCCCCGCTTCAGGGCAGTGGACCGAGTGTCTGCTCCAGGATGGCTCCAGGGCAGCGACGTCAGAATCCTCCTGCTGGTCCAGGTGGGCACAGGTCCACACCTCCCTCTGCTTCCACTCTGATCGCTGGACTGCGCCCAGCACCGCCCCAGTGATTCCGTGGCCCCACGGTGGCCAACGTTCTGACCACACAGAGGGAAAGGCGCTCTTTACTCCTCTAACCTGGCCTGCCCACGTGTCTCCCAGACGCCGCTCGGTCCTCGTGGGCTTGGGGTATGCGGTGGCAGCCGCACGGGGCCCGGCCTGGCAGCCGCCCTCGCCTCAGTCTGTCTTCCTGAATCCTGAAAGGCAAAGCCCGCAGGATGGCACGGGACTCTGAAGGCGGCCAGACCTCACCAAGCCACCCCAGATACCCAAATCCCCCTCACAGTGGGCTAATGTGTCACGGGTCTCTGGGGCCCACAACCAATGTCACTAGCTCACTTCCCTTTTATGAACGAAATGGGCTAAAGGAGCCTGAAATCCCCAGTGCAGAGACACACGGCCCCCTGGCCTCTCAGTATTGAGATGGTGATGGGAGCAGTGGCTGGTCAAGAGGCTGTCCTCAGTCCTGTCAAGAGGCCCAACCCTGCTAGCTGTGTGGCCCTGGGACAGTCACTCCACCTCTCTGAGCCCCAGTTTCCTCATGGGTCAGGTCAAGCTCCCCTCATACTCTCCCCCAATTGCTGTTAGGCAAATAAAACAGCGAAGGTAGTGTTTGGGGGAAAGTTCTAGGAGAGGATGAAAATACTAGTTCCCTTATATTCATTCCTCACTTGAATTTTTTACAACCCTGTGTGCTAGGTATCGTTATACCCATTGTCCAGATGAGGAAACCGAGGCTGAATGAGGCTCTTGGATCCAAGAGCTGGTGAGTTAGGAGGACTCAGGCCCTTGGCCCGATGCCAGGCCGTGTGCTCTTTCCTAGATGCTAAGCCTTGTTCATGGCAGGAGAGAATGTGATGTTACCCATCAGCCTCAACTTCTGGAAGAGGGGGATGAAGCCACGCAGGACACTGTGGATCCGGTACACTATTGGAAAAGAAGAGAAGGGTAATGGAGCTTGGTGTCTCGCTGGGGGTGCGGGGCTCCCCTCCCACTCGCCCACCCTTGGACAGAGGCCTAAATCACACAAACAAGGCTCTCCGGGTGGAATTTCAGGCAGTTGGTTTACTTAGATAATAGTATTAAGAGTTGTTATTATTAAAAACACCATGGGCAGCCATAATAATACCAGGAAACGCTGCGAATCCAGGACTCAATTCCATTCACCCCCTTGTTTTCAGTATCTGGCTCATTCTGGAGCTTTTTTTTTTTTTTTTTTTTTTTTTTTTTGCCACTCTAAAGTGCTTTTGTTGCATTTTTATGGAACTGCCCTCTTTTTTCCACTGGGTTTTGCCAACGACCTTAGGTTGACCTTGAAAGCAGTCAGGAAGAAAACAGAAGCATAAGGAAGTCTTTTTAAATGTCTAGGAGGTGCTTTCTGGTCCGTGGCAAGCCTCTGGGGCCCAGGCAGCCGCCACCCTCCGTGAGGCTTACCCAGCCCAAAGTAGATGCCCACGGTCTCCAGGGAGGCGAAGGTGAGCAGGCCGACTCCAAGGGACATGAACCAGTCTGCAGGGGTGGCGAGAGGGGACAGTCAGCCTGCGGGTCTGGCCCCTGCGCCCACCCGTCCCCTCGGGCCCCACTCACCTGCGTAATAGTGGTAGCACACCAGCACACCCCCGATGGCAAAGCAGAGGAGGACGAAGTGGAAAAACTCATCTGAAAGCAGAGGTGAGTTACTATTTGCTCTGTTCTGCTTTAACTACTCAGAGCCCTGACATCTCTACTCTTAACTGACTCCATTCGGAGACGTGTCCAAGGACGAGGGCACCCAAGCCCCCCTGCTTGCCAGCCCTTACTGCCTGTCATTACTTTTCTGACCCTTATCACCACTCAGCTTGCTGTCTTTCCTTTTCTAATGTTTATTCTTTGCCCCCAGGGTGGTGGGTGGGGATTTTCCCCAGACTGAAGCAGTGCCAGGCACGCTCAATGTGCTGGTGCCCGATGCTTTGTCTATCAAATAAATGTCAAATGCCTTTGTAAAAAATGCAAATGTGTCAAGTTCAAAAGTTCCACATCGTGGCATTCTCCCCCACCAACGTTACTCCTTCAAAGCAAGCAGCGACTGGCCAGGTCTCTCCAGGTACATGTCCTCATTGAGTGAGAATCTGGGCCCTCCCTGGTGGCGCAGCGGGTTAAGGCACAGCACTAAGAAGCCAAAGCTACTTCAGCATGAGTTCAGTCCCACCCCGGAGGTGACCCACAGGGCACGGCAGACCTCTCCTGACCCGCCCGCTGCTCCCCTCAGCAGTGGACTTCATCATCTGCCTGTTCTGCTCCCCACTCTGTCTCTGGTGAAGACTTTCACCGTCCCTGCACCTTGGGCCTGTGCCCCAGTTCTGTATGCATAAATAAATAAATAAATCTTTTTTTTTTTTTTAAGTGAATTCAAGCAGGGCACCAGCGGCAGGCAGCTGCTCTTCTTGCTGCTTCCTCCCGCTGTCAGAACAGGGCTCTGCAGAGAGCCCCACGGCCGCCAAGCAACCGCGGATTTACGCAGCTGGGCTCCCACCCATAAACCTGAGCGTCTGCTGTTCCGCGGTGACCTCCGTGCCACAGGCATAACTTCCCCTGAATCTCCGTGCGCTCAGGTGCGTATCTAGGGGGCCTGGTGCCTAGCGACGCCATTTCAGGCTTGGGGATTCTCATGGTTAACAGAAGTGCAGAGAGGGGCTGAGAGGCAGGGGCGGTGCCTTGGCAGGAATCAGGGTAGTTTGTGTATTGAGGCCCCCCTTTATCTCACCAGGCCCTGGGGAGTCATGAGGAGAGAGCAGGCAGGGCCCTGTCAAGGGACCCTGTTTCCTGGGATGAGGCAGGCTCCCTGAGGGGTGAGGCTGCCAGGGAGGTGTCTGCGTTCAGTTCACTATGCCCCTGATGTGCTGTGCAGCTTTGAAGGGGTGTCCTGACCTCTCTGAGCCCTGCTACTCTTTTGCCAACTTGAGGAGGGAGCCTGCACGTCATCCGGAGGATGGATGGGGTCTGGAATGGGCGCCACCCTGGAAGTGCCTAAAGGCAGCCGATACTGTTTATCATGGCTGTCAAGGAGCATTTAGAGGGCAAGAAGGTGGGGAACACATTCTGGCTTTTGCTTTTTGGTTAGTTTGGAGACAGAATAAAAATGAGTATTTCTAGTACATGTTTGACCCTGAAATCTGCTTACCCTGTAGGGAGAACAACACATTGTGAGAACCAGACTTAATACTTAAGAAGGCACCAGCCTGGGCCTCCCTGATGGCCTGGGGTTGAGTCTCAATGCTATCACCACAAGGGCCTGAGTTCGATCCCTGGCCAGGGAGTGACCCACAGGGCGCAGCAGACCGCTCCTGTCTCGCCTGCTGCTCCCCTCAGCTGTCTATCTTAGTAGGCTGTTCTGGCCCCACTCTGTGTCTGCTCTCGCAACCCCGCACCTCTGGCTTATACCCCGGCTGGCTCTTCTACATAAAAATAAAAAATATATATATTTTTTAAAAGAAAGAAAGCATCAGGCTAAAATCTCTCCAGAAACATGTCACAGCAGTCCAGCTCACGGGGTCCTGAGGGCCACAAGCAGAATCAGAGCATGATGCCAGACCCTGCGACTCTGAACCCAGACCGTGTGCTGAGAAGTGGGAGCAGAAGAGAGAAGCACTCGCTCTTTGGGGTAGAGTCCCCAATCTGGACATGGCATGGCCTGCACTTGGCAATCTGAGCTTTCGTCCGATACTGGAGTCTCATTTCCTAGCCCAGGAAAGTTACAGCCTGCCGTGGGGCGCTAAGCTGGTCAGGGCCATGCCGCAGACTGGAACCCCGCACGCCACCCCTTTGAGCCGGACTTTTGCAACCACTAAAAATGTTTCCAAAACAACTGCCCTTTATTTAATCAAAAAACTATGGTCTCCCTCCCCACCTGCCAACTCCCTGAAGCCCCTGCCAGCTCCCCGACTCGAGGCCTGGCGCAGAGAAGGGCCCTCCTGTTCTCACAAAGCCCTCTCCAGACTCCAGCCTAAACGAGTCTCACGGCTTCCTCAGCGCAGCTAATTTCGAGCTCCCGTCCTGTGTGTCCATCAACCCCGAGGGGCGCTTGTCCTCCCGGTGACTCCACATATAGTAGATAGAGCACAGCCCAGGGGTCAAGCCCAGGCCATGCCATTCAGGGCTGTAAGAACACTGCCTGCCTTGAGCCTCAGATTCCACAGCTCCGGAATGGGGATCCCAGTACCACCTCAGCTCAGAGACTGAGCTGAGTTTGCAGACTGTGAAGTGCACACAGAGCGGGCTCTGCCCACTGCTTTCCAGCCATGGACAGCTGGACCGGACGGGCAGCTTGGGGCAGCTATTTTCTTACCATCTTTCTTGATGTTCAGTCTTCTTAACTGAGCGGCCTCATCTTCCCCTGAGGAACAAGACCGAGGAGCTGTGCACTCGGTGTGGCCGGCAGGTGGGGCTTGCACTCCCCTCTGGCCTCCTTTACCAAGTGGAGGGCCCTTGCTTCAGGGCCAGTCAGGGAAGAGCTGTGAAGTGGGGGCCTGGTTGCCAGGGGGACCCCTGATTTCTCCACCCCCCGGCCCCCAGCACGAGGCTATGTTTGCTCCACGCCCCTGGGCTTGGAGACCCTTTCCTGTGTCTCAGTGACACATGGATGACGCCGGCCTTCCTGCTGGACTGACACGCCCTCTCAAGCTCTCTGGGGTCCCACCCACCCTCCTGGGACCCAGGCTGCGTCCTCATCTCTCTTGAAGCTATGTATTTACCACTTGCTGGGTCTGAGCCTCTCCTCCGGAGTCCTGGAAGTGAGAAACTCACCATTAGTACCCAGGCCAGCTGGGGTCTTTGACTGGTAACTCCACCTTGGGGAGGCACCTCTCGAATTTCCTGCCCCCGAGGAATCTTTCTGTCCATTGATAACTGGATGCTATCCAGCCTAAATTCCCTTTCCAGTTTCCGCTGGCCCCTGCCTCCTGCTTCAGCCAGCCCCCCTGCTTGATGGGACCGGGTCAGAGCTCCAGGTCTGCAGGTGGAGACCTCTCTTGCACCCATGCACCCTGACAGTTGCTGGTTCTCGCAGGGAAAGACAGACGATGCCCAGACCTTGCTCTACACTAACACCCACGCCACCTCTCCCCTAGCTGGGCACTCACCGGACTCCTCAGAAGGTACCAGCTCTCCATGGGAACCTGCGCAGAAGGGAAACCAGCGATGACCTATCCGTCACCCTCGGGGTGGGGGAGGTGGCTCTCACCCAGAGACTCTCCGTCTGCTCTCCATGGGCTGGAGGAAGCAGGAGGCGAGTCATCTTCCATCTAAAAGGGCAGGACAGCCACCAGCTGCCGAACGTGTCACAGGCTCCGGTTTCCCATGGGACACCAGAAGTCAGGGTTTTACATAAACTTCTTGATTATCAAAAGCACTTGGCAACTCGTCTTTCCTCAAATCCAAGACACCATCTTGGGCATGACTTTATTTTATGTGTTGAAATGTAAGGAAAGCCACTGCCCATGAAACCTGTTAGTTGTCAGTGATCTTAAGATGCATTCTGATTTCAGGAATGTCCAAACGTGCAAAAGGGTGACTTGTGGAACTGGCGATCAAGTCTCCGTGTTCCAGCTGCACACATCTCCTGTCACAGATGTGCGGGTCCTTATCTATCCACACGCTGGCCCCTCTGACTCCCAGTGCCTATTCTAATCGCTCTCTTAACCTGCCAGCTCCTTCTCCACAAATGCAGGCAGGATCCCCTATAACCACCTTTCACCAGCAGGGGCCCCCCACTCCTGGGTGCTGGACAACCAATTACCTTCATAGAGTTGAAGCTCATCCTTCAAAATGCTGGGCTCGTGGGACTCAGGACCTGGGTGGAGACATCTCCTTTAGTCAGTCTCCCTGGCCATAACATCTCTTATCTCCCATGAGTTTGCAGCCTTAAAAAGGGGCTCAGACGGGCCCTCCCTGGTGGCACAGCGGTTAAAACACTGCACTAAGAAGATTAATCCACTTCTGCATGAGTTTGATCTCCACCTGCCCTGGAGGTGACCCACATGGCGCGGCAGACCTCTCCTGACCTGCCTGCTGCTCCCCTCAGCAGTGTACTTCATCGAGCTGCCTGTTCTGCTCCCCACTCTGTCTCTGGTGAAGCCTCTCACCGCCCCTGCATCTCTAGCCTGTACCCCAGTTCTGTATGCACAAATAAATAAATCTTTAAAAAAAAAAGGGGGGGAGCCTCAGTCGGGCCCTCCCTGGTGGCACAGCAGTTAAAGCACAGCACTAAGAAGATTAATCCACTTCAGCATGAGTTTGATCCCCGCCCTGGAGGTGACCACATGGCGCAGCAGACCTCTCCTGACCTGCCCGCTGCTCCCCTCAGCAGTGTACTTTGTCGATCTGCCTGTTTTGCTCCCTTCTCTGTCTCTGGTGAAGCCTCTCACTGCCCCTGAGCCTCTGGCCTGTACCCCAGCTCTGTATGCACAAATAAATAAATCTTTAAAAAAAAAAAGGGAGGGGGGCTCAGTCGGGCCCTCCCTGGTGGTGCAGTGGGTTAAAGCACAGCACTAAGATGCTAAAGTCATCTTAGCATGAGTTCGATCCCCACTCCAGAGGTGACCCACATGGCTCAGAATCCCCTCACCCTCCACACCTCTGGCCTGCACCCCCCTTTCCTCTAGGCAAGCAAAACCCAAACATGCTCATTGTAAAATACAGTCCAAAAAAGAAAAATCGCTCCTAATGTAACCATCCAGAGGCCGTCACTAGTAACATTTTGGTATTTTTCTTTCCCGTCTTGTTTATAAGGATGTTTGTGCGAATTTGTACAAAGTCACATATAAAGAACAGAGCTCTGAGGAGGCAGGGTTTAGCATTGTCACTACATTTTGCTGCCGCTGGATGTCAGGGTGTCTCTGTTCCTGTCTATACGCCACACTGGGAGGGACATCTTTGTGCTCTGCCCTATGAGAAACGCAAAGCGAGTCGGCTGAGGAGAAACAGTGAGGCCTGTCACCTACAGGGTGAGCGGTCCCCAGGGGGGCGTGCAGCCCCTGGGTTCTGCCGACGTTTTCCGGGTACTCCGGGGAGCCGGTCCTCATCACTGCTCTCTGCAGGGAACAAACACAAGCCATAGGAGAACCTCAGTCCCGGACGCTCTTGTGTTCACGCTCTGGAGTTGGTTGATGTGAGGAGCGTGGTGTTAGGCAAAGAGGTCTGCCCTGGGGATCCAGGTAGGAGCTCTGCCTTGAACTCTCGGTGTAACTTGAAGCACCCAGTCTCCCTGTTGTGCCTTCGGGAGGCTTCAGGAAGGTACGGCAAGTCAACTGAAGAATAGTAGTCCCTCTGAGGAGTTGCCCTCAAGTAAGTGCAGGGCTGTGCACCCCATCTCCCTACTCCACAGCCAGGTGGCTCTGCTCATACTCCACCCCACCAGGAGCCAGTCCCCTTCGCCTCCCTGCTCCCTAAGGTTAAGCTGGTGTCATGTCCTGAAGAAAGGTTTTCCCAGCTGCCCTCGTTGACACTGGTCTTGGCCCACTCTCCTCTGGGTTTCCGTGACCTCACTGTCTGTGCTTGACTCAGTGGGCCTCAGGCCCAGCCAGCTCGAGTTCCCAAGGACAAGGCCCGATACCCCCTATCCTGAGGGTGCCCTGGCCAAAGCAGGAACCTCATCAAGACTTGAAGAGTGGGTGAGGGCGTGGCGCTCCTGGCCCAGGTCCCCCGAGGCCCCAGCAGGGCTCTGAACCGCTATATGTTGGGGGTCTCGGGGGACCTGGGCCAGGAGCGCCACGCCCTCACCCACTCTCCAGCCCAATACAGACACTTTCAAATTCCAGGAAACCAAGCGAATGGTGCTGAAAAATGTGTGCCTGTGTGATCTCAACTAAATCCAGAGAGAGTCTCAGGATGGACATCAAGATAACAACAGCAGACACCATGTTTTCTGACTACATTTTCATTATCTTAGAAAAGATAATTTTCTGAGTCTACATGTGCCAAGGAGGTTCTCATAGTCCATTCCTGCACATGTAAACTGGAACACGTCTATGAAGGCATTGGCATCTCTGTCAAAGTGCTGAAAATGCCAACCATTTGATCCATTACTTAGATTTCCTAAGAATCAGTCCTATAGATTTACTGTCCTGTCTCAGGCCCACGCCCACAGGGAGCAACAGGCCACGGGGCAGGCACTCTGGAGGAGGACACCAGTGCCCACCCCGGGCTCCCAGAAAGACCTCCAGGGACCTTCATGTTGGTCATGGTGCCCACTCCCAGCAGGTCTCCGGGCCTCATCTTCCTCACCGTGACATGGGGAAAGTGACAGCATCTACCAGTGGGCACCTGTGAGAATTAAGTCCCGGCACACAGTAAATGCTCAGCAAATGCTGGCTGTCATATTGTCCCTGCTGCCAATGCTGCCCTCCATTTTGAATGAAAGGGACACAGACAAAGGAACATTCTGCTGGGGGCTTTCTGTGGTGGTGCCACACAGCACTATGAAGCTATCTGCAGCCACCAGGCAGAGACCTCTCCTGTCTCTCCGCTGCTCCCCTCAGCAGTGGATTTCAGTCAGTCTGCCTGTTCTGCTCCCCACTCTGTCTCTGGTGAATTCTCTCACCTCCCTTCCCTCCACCCAAACCTCTGGCCTGTACCCCAGTTCTTTTTGTTTTAGATTTTATTTATTAATACATACAGAACTGGGGTACAGGTCTGAGGTGCAAGGGGTGAGAGAATCCACCAGAGACGGGGCAGGGAGCAAATCAGGAGATTGACGAAGTCCACTGCTGAGGGGAGCAGCGGGCAAGACAGGAGAGGTCTGCCGCGCCATCTGGGTCACCTCTGGGGCTGGGGATTGAATTTGCATTGAAGCAGCCGCAGCCAGCTTCGCAGTGCTGCGCTCCAACCCACTGCACCACCACAAAGGGCCTGTACCCCAGTTCTTGTATACATAAGCAAATAAATCCTTAAAAAAATTTTCTGCTTGGCATCAGAGGATAACGGGCAGTGTGTAATCGAAGCCAATGAGGGCTGCTGATTCTTCTAAGCCTACTCAAGTACGTACGGGGAACTGATACCTGGGACCTACTTTAGAGGAAACCCTTAAAAACTTTTATGGGAGGACGCTCAGGAGGGAGCATGATAAACCGGGCAGGGGGAGACTCAGTGAAAATAGATCCTTCTGGAGCTTTTGCTGTATGCTAGATGCTACAACTTCACATGCATGTGCAAAGGATGCGCCCTCACGGGAATTCTACGTAGTGATGATTTGCATTCTCACCCCCATTTTACAGATGAGGACACTGAGGCCGACGTATTGTGGCAAGCACTTGGCCTGAGGATGTGCAGCCAGTGAGTGGCAAAGAAAGGATTTGCACCCAGCAAGCTACTGGGCAAAGGCACCCACTTCGGCCCCAAAGTGCCCCTAAGAAGCCAAGATACTTTCCATGAGATACTGCCACTTGGGGGTTATTTGGTGAGCGGGAAGCCATGTTGCGAAGACATTACAGAAGAACACGCTAAAATGCTCGGTGGAGGTGGCAAACAATGGAAACCTAGGACACAGTTGTGTCGCACGGCTGGCTCTCACTGCACGCAAGTTTTGTGGACAGACAGGAGGGAAGGGAATGAAGGGAAAGGAATCAGAGCACCCAAGTGGGAGACTTTTCCACGGAAATGCTTGCCTTGCACAGTACTGGGAGATGGATGTGCATGTGTAGGTCTGTGTGCTGATTTGTCATCTTTGCTGTACCTGAGGCAGAGGAAGATGACGAGGAGGAAGAGGAGGAGGAGGAAGAGGACGAGGAGGAAGAGGAGGAGGAAGAAGACTTGTCTTTCTCATTTCCTTCTTGAGAGAAGAGCCCGGCCTCCCCGTCCTGGGTGTGGGAATCCGTCCGTCCATCTGGGAGGTACACAGGAAAAGGTCAACATTGCCCCCACCCCCACCGCAGAGACCACCAAGGCTTCCCTGGGGGTCTGTCTGGACTGAGGGAGCCAGGAGGGGCTGGAGTCTCTGGGATACTCTTCCAAATCCCAAGGGTGGATGGAAGGGGCAGGAGACTGGGGCTTCAGGGGCTCCAGAGGCTCCAGGAAGACCCAAGGCAGAGATTTTCCTAGTTCGGGAGCCCAGAGAGGGGCTTTTAACCCCTCCTCTTGTCCCACCCAGATCCGACTAGAGAGGCTAGCAATTTAGAATTTTCTGTAAATTATAGGTCAGGGAGAATCTGATCATTCCTAACCTTCCCATTTCCTATTCTGGGGCCAGATAGAACCCTTTCACCTCCAGGGGATGTTCCCTGGTGCCAGACCCAGAACCTCTATAAGCTTTGGGAAGCATTCAAGTTCCCCCCAACTAGAAAGTGCTGGGGAGTAGACTGGACTAAGCACGTGTGTGCGCCTATGTGTAAGATCACTATTTCCCTGGAATTTTCAGCTATGGGCTACCCAGCTGCACAGGCTCTTCCGTTCACCCAGAGGGTCAGGAAGCACACAGACAGTTTCTACCTTCTGCTTGTCCATGGACTCGACTATGGTCTTGGGTTTGGGAGGAGGGTCCTGAAGTCTCCATGGCTTTCCCTAGAGGAATAATAATAGTAATTAATGTCACCTTAGTGAATAACCTTCGTATATAAAGAACTTGAGAAATAAATAAGAAAAAGACAACCACCCAGTACTCAAAGGTACAAGAAAAACAACTGACAAAAGAAGAAATACACATGTAGGGAAGTTTGAGCAGTGATTATCTTATGATAATGCAAAAAACTTACTTAGTTCTTAAAAATAGGCTTTGGTTTTTAGAGCAGTTTTAGGTTCAGAGCAAAACTGAGCTGTGAGTCCAGAGCTGGGTCAGGTATACCTTCGCTCCAACTCGCATCACTCTCCCAGTGCTAACACCTTTCACCAGAGTGTTTCTTTTTAGGTCCAAAATTTATAGTGAGGTTAATTTAATGTATCCTTAAAGATAAACATGGAAATGTTTTTGATAAAATTATAGGATGGCTGGGGCTTGCTTCAAAGTAATTTTGTTGGAAAGTTGGAGGATATAGGTGGGGTCCACAAGGTAAACATGGCCTGGAGTTAGTAAGTGTTGGAGCTATGTGAGAGCTGGCGGGCTGGATACTTTTGCTTTGCATTTCAAATATTTTAACAGTGGCCCTCCCTGGTGGCTCAGCCGTTAAAGCACAACACTAAGAAGCTAAAGCCACTTCAGTGAGTTCGATCTCTGCCCCGGAGGTGACTCACAGGGCGCAGCAGACCTCTCCTGACCCCCCACCCCGCTGCTCCCCTCAGCAGTGGACTTCACAATCTGCCTGTCTGCTCCCGGGTGTGTCTCTGGTGAATCCTCTCACCTCCCCTGCACCTCTGGCTTATACCACAGTTGTGTGTGCATCAACAAATACAACTTTTAAAAAATATTTTAACAGTATTTCTTTTGTTATAATAAAATAAATAACATGTTTTCATTGCTTAAAAATGCAATAAAATGCAAAAACTTGTTCCCTGACATCAGTTGAGTATTCAATAGTTTCACTAAGAGCTCGCATGTCCTAGTGACCACAAATCAGTCACGTAGGAGTTGGGATCAGTTACCCGTCGTGGCAAATTGTAGCTTTTATTATTTTTTAAATGTTATTTATTGATGCACGTAAGAACTGGGGTACAGGCCAGAGGTTTGGGGGGGTGAGAGGACTCAACAGAAACAGAGTGGGGCGCAGAACAGGCAGGTGCACTGAAATCCACTGCTGAGGGGCGCAGCGGGGACACTGGAGAGGTCTGCTGCGCCCTGGGAGTCACTCCCTGGCCTGGGACCTAATCTGTGCTGCAGTGGCTTCATAATGCTGCACTTTAACCCACTGTGCACCAGGGAGAGCCCCAAAGTTTTAGATGACAAAATGTCCCCAAAGATTGCCTCATTTAATTCCTAAAAAACATCCTATTTTATAGGATGGGAGGCTGAGGCTCAAAGAGACAAAGGGACCTGCATGAGCGAGGACTCCGGGGCTCATACAGTCCCCCAGGATGCAGAACTGCCCCAAGGTGGAGCCAGGCCCCACAGAAGTGCCTTCCAGGATTAGGGAGGCCTGAGCACAGAGCAGGCCTTTGAGGGTGGAGCCACTGGAGGGAATCCGTCCCTTCAGGACACTAGTCTCTGCTTTCCTGAAATTCCAAGGAGCAAACGTGACTGGATGAGTGTTTTCAGGCAAGGCCTTGACTGTGGTCTTGGAAAGTCCCAATGGCTGGTGCTCTGCCCAGGGGAAAATATGTGGTTGTCTCGGCTGTCCCTCAAGAGCTTGGCTTTAGCTGGGTACTATGTATGTGGCTGTCCACTTAGAGACTACATTCCCAGAATCCCTGGAATCTATATGCGGTCACATGATTCTTTTTCATGCCAGTGGAATATGAATGGAGAGGATCCTTCCAACTTTTCCCCCAACCTCTATCTCTCACAACCACAAGCCTGATCTCCTTTTCTAAGAGTTTGATAGTTGTTTTTATAAAGACAACCATGTAAGTGAGAACAGACAGAAATTTGCCTTTTGCTTTCTGTCTTATTTTGCCTAGCATAAAGCCTTCAATTTCCCTTCATGTCGCCACAAATAGTAGGATTCATTTACTTTTCACGACCGAATAATATTCTATCGCAGACCACAACTGCTTTATCCAGTCACCACTGATGGGTACAGTTATTGCTATATCTTGGTGATGGTAAATTAAGGAGGCAATGAATATGGGTATGAGTTAGTGTTTTTGTTTCCCTTGAATGTATTCAGAGTAGAATTACTGAATTATATGGTAGACCTAGTTTAAAATTTTTTTTAGTAATCTCCATACTGTTTTCCAGGAGGACGATCTCAACTGTTCACAAGGGTTCTCTTTCTTCCACATCCTCGCCAGCATTTCTTATCGCTTGTCTTCTGATGTTCTCTCAGCAGGTGTGAGGTGACAGCTCCCGCTGGGTTTGGTTTTGTATTCCCTGACCTCCAGTGATGTTGAGCCTCTATTCCTGCTCTTTTCCTTGAAAGATGTCTTTGTGCATTTTAAAATCGGGTCACTTAAATTGGGTCATTTTGCTATGAGGTGTTAGCAGTTACCTTGCTTTTAATATATTTAAAGTATGTTTATATAATTTAATTTAATAATGGTTGTGTTTCAAAAACAGCACCCAAAATTTCTAAAGATTTAACAAAAAATAGCCTTTCACAAGCAATAGAATCCTGTTTCAGCTCTGAGTACGGCAACTTCTGCTTGCCTTTGGCTTCAGAGGTGGGGTGTGAGGCAGTCTCACACCTGACTCCCAGGTCTGCCTGAGACCTGCCTCTGGCCGGCTCCCTGTACAGGGAACGAGCTGTTCCCTAACATGAGCCTGTGTTTTGGTCTCTTGTTATAGTTATGGTCTCGCCCAAGTCATGCAGTCTTCTTTCTGGCCTGTTCCATCTCTCCTCCTAACTCTCAGGCTCCAATTCTGAAGGGAGGGGGACTCACCAGCCTCTGACCTTTGCTACCTTCCCTTTCCTGCAGCCGTATGTTCCTTGAGCACCTACCGTGTTGTTAGCACCTGGGGCATTGTGGTAATAAATGGCAGACCTGTCCTTAAGGAATTTAGAGTGGACCTGGGGTTTCAGGGACTCGGGCTAAGTCAGACCCGGTCCATCAGGGGAAGTTCCTGACGGAGGAGGCGCTGGGAGTGAGTTTGGAAGGGCCAGGAGGGAAGCAGGCAAAAATACCTGAGCTGCGTGGAAGCTGCTGGGGGGAAGCAGTTCTGAAGAACAGGATTTGGGAGAAGCACAGAGGGCATCTCCTGCTCTCTTTCTTGGAGCCAGTCACGGCTGCCTTCCACCAGGCTGTTGCCTGAGGCAGGACACCCTGCTGCACTAGCAGCTGCTGCTCCTGGCCAGGGCTCAGCTGGGTCAGACACACCCAGGGTACAAACCCCCCTAGGGTAGGGGCAGAGGCTGACTCATCTCTGTGCCACTACACAGGACCTGGCAGAAAGCAACAATGGTGGTAGTAATGGTGGCCAGCGACCATGACAATAACTGAGTGCTCACTCTGCCAGCCGATGACCAAGCACATTGCTCGTGTTACCTGTATGTTGCTCAGCACGGGCCAAGGAGGGCTTGTGCCAGCTGGACCCGCGGAGAGCTAAGAAAGCTGAGTCACAGAGCACTGGGCCACCTGCCCGCCACAGAGCTGTGAAGCCAGAGGGGAGCTGCTCAGTCCACGCTGGAGACAGAGGGGGAGGCCTGTGGCTCTGCCCAGGCCCCTGTGAGCAGCACCAGGAAAGAAGCCGCAGTAACCAGGGGAGCCTGAGGCAACTGGTACAGCCTCAGTTCCTGCTAAGCCTCGCAGAAGCCCTGAGCAGGTGTGTGCACGGCCAGGGACCGTCCTTTCAGCCGCTGATCGATCCCAAGGAGGGGCAGGTACTATTGGAGGCCAGAGATTAGCCAGCAGCCACAGCCTTTCCAGGCCTCAGACCCACCCTCAGACCCACCCGTTCTTCCCGACCCAGCTCCCAGGCGGGCCATCTGCTTCTCCTCTCGAGGCTCTGGTTTCCCCCTGTTACCTGGGCCCCCCCTTTCAGCGTCCCTGCCCATCCCTCTTCCATCCATATTTTTGCTAGGAGGAAAGAGAAATAGAATTTTTAAAGTGTCAAACTCAAGAATCATCAGATCAAGAATCATCAGACTCACAGCGGTCATTTTGTAAGAGAAACAAGTCTACATCACCATGCCGTGCACAGAAACCAAATTAACGTTCGTGATCCCTCAGAAGCAGCCTCACGGGCCAGTGTGCAGGGTCAAGCTTGTCGCAAAGGGCAGGAGCACCAGGGAGGTGCTTCAGGCCCTGGCAGAGGCTCCTGGGAACCCAATTTGTGGTGTGAGTGACATAAAAAGTCCTGTATCCACTGTCGCTGGTCGGTTCTGGGGCCGAGCCCTGAAAACACCAACCTTCCCTTTCTGCCTCTGGCTCCGCCCTGCGGTCTGGCTCCCCCAGACGCCCCTCTGTTCGGTGGGATTCCACATCCTCCCAAGAAAGTAGCAGCCTGAGGTGATTTCTGTCCTTTATAGCCAAAGTCCTTTAGTTGAGGCTGACAAAGTCAAGTCTGCAGAAAGGGGAAGTGCGCAACTTAGTGGTATTAGCACAGAAAGATCCAGGTTTGCTAAAAGCCACTCTGAAGGAAAGTAGCACACGTGGGTGGGCATATAGTGAGTGTAGCACTAATGTTCATTAAAGTGCAAAAATGAGCCAACAGATTACGGAATCACACAGCAAAGCTAACAGTCTCAGGTCATATTAACAGAAGAACAGAGACGTCAGTGAAGGTGACTCACATGCCACCATAACTGTGCTGGTTTTAATCTTAGCTGCTTCCAATACTGGGTTAAAATCCAAAGCCTCTGGCCAACCAGTGTTAACATCTAAAATAACTCCAGCCGCTGCAGGACAGTGTTGGAATGACAGACAGAGCTAAGGGAACCAAAGGTCCTGAAATTCTGTCAGATGAAATTAGCAGAGACCGAGACAGGGAGGAAAGGCGGGGAGCTCCCTTGGAGGATGGTGATCAAG